TTTGAAGGACACAGCCCCTGAATTTAGACACAGTCCAGGACCGCTCACCCCTGAGTTATGAGTTGTGACATTAATGACACAACACAGAGCTTTGAGAAAGAGGCAAAACCATTTGTCCAGACTAGGCTAATGGTTCGGTAAATGAGTCTCAGGTTTTTAAAATAGATTTCCAGGCTTCTAAAACAACTTTTTCTGAAAAAAAAAAAAACCTGTGTGAATTATTGTGCAGCAATATGAACATTGTAGCAGCATCAGCAACAAACTACACAAAATGACAGACAGATGAAGGATCCTAATACCACCTGATTGTTGCAGACTGACTGAGAATGTTCAGATTTTTTTTCCCAAAATTTGTATATCTGTCAGTGACACAAGGATTTGACTGGAAATGCTTTTTCAAAGGTGAGACAACTGTAAGGGGAAGGTGASCAGAGCAGCAAGTGATCAGTACAACAGTGGGCAGAATTTATCAGGATGATGATGTTTGGGTTTAGGTGTCAACAACAAAAGACAAATTATGGTGTCTTGCACACCTGCTGGCTGGAGTCTGTCCTCTCAGATCCCTGGTCTAAAAGGTCAGGAAAGACTCAGAACAACTGGCTCAAGTGTAGTCTCAGAGAAAAACACATTATTGATATATACAAATACAAACATGGAGAACAGAGGGAGTAAAGGCAGCAGAAGAGTGAGGAGATGTGATCAGAGGAASATTTTTATCAAATGGAGTTTGCATTGAATTTGTAATATTATTAACAAGATAATCTAAGCTGCTGCTTTCTGTTGTATTTCTCTGCAARATGGAGGAAAAATATTAATGGAAGAGATTCTTCAAATTGGATTATAGCATTCTCTGATAAACATCACTTGTAATTAAATTTACTCTCAGTGGCTGTGTAGCCATGTAAACTTAAAGGTAATTTTAAAAATGGTCATATAGCACAGGATTGTGAAGATTAAATGTTTACACTCTAGAACCACATCAACAGTGTGATGAAGAGAATGAAGTGGTTTGTGGACATTTTGGGTAAAATCARTTGATTAYTAAATTATCAAAGGCTAGGTTTAAGCTATCTTTCAACATCTGCATAAATATTACAATTTCCCACTGTTAGAAATTTATCAGAATTCAATAATAAGTCAAACAGAAAGAAAAAAACTGTGAGTAAAGGCCTGGTGGATAATATATATCGACAAAAGTGTTGTTTTATTCATTTTGATTTTTAATTTTTTTTGATGAATAAGACTGAAGGAAAACGACTCAAAAGAATTGTTACTAAATAATTGGTTAATAATTGGAGACATGGTGGAAATGTTTACGTGTGTTATTCTGTTGGCAAAATATCTAATGAACAACTGGACAGATTCTTTTAATGTAACTCTCAAAAAGTATCCATTGCCTTTTTACAGATATTGAGCAAAGATTTGGGGATTTCTGCTGCTAACAGTGCAAAATCTTTTTCTTAGAAAGTGTATAAAAGTACTTTTA